CAGAAAACGGGTGTTTGGTGGGCCAGCAAGTAATTCAGCTGAGCAGCTACGATGTCTCGGTCATGTTTTACGCATGCCGAGCTGTCAACTACAGAAGACAGTGCTGTTTTATGTGCCTAATTAGGAGTGGACGGAATATGACCTGGTAGGAGAGAATGACACCACGAAAAGTCCGAGTGTTGTAGGCCTTCCGGTGTGGGACCCATGTAACCGTCTGTGTGCTTGGCTGAAAACACTGGGAGATAAGTCGACTAATCCATGACAGTCGCCTTCATGCTGTCAGTTTTTAAACACAGTATCTGGCTGAAAGCTGGACCCGCAAACATCTCGTGTTATCGCAACTCTATTCTTTTACTGACCTGGCATTTCTTAGATAAACTGATTTGGTTTTGAGGCGCTGAAGCAAGGGTTTTAAGCTGATGTTGCTGCCAGTGATGATTACGGCGATGAATTCGAGTTCAAGGCAGACGACAGGAATGATTCATCCAGTAGTGAGTGGCCATCACAGATTATCAAGAGTAAGGAGAAACAGCATAACGACAAGAAACTGTGAACTAAACGACAAAATACACCCACTGTCATTCCATGCATTTTTATAGACATGCATTGCTCAGTTGGCAGTAGCTCAGTCACAAGCATGAAAAATGACCTCTCTTAGGGTAACTCACAGACTTAGGACAGCTTGCATTGATATGTAGAGAGCGGGGACGCTGAACGTTTCAAAAAAGATTTCCGCCATTTTCTCCCGATTGCGTTTCGGGTTGTACGGAGGTTCAGTCAGCAGTACAGGATGTTCTTCGCTGCTTACCATCAGCTGGTCTTTACTGTACACGTACGTCCAGATACGCTCCATATCATTCCAATCTCGGATGATACCGTGTTCAATTGGATATCGGATGCTTAACAAGCCACGGTGTTCCTCCGCTTTGGGGCCAATGAATTCATCGCCTTCCAAGGCACCAGCCATTACCCGGACATGTTTCGGTCGCCCAATACTTCAAGAGATGAGGTTTATCCATTTTACGAAGCTGGGAAACTTACTAGTTTGGAAATCGATACTTGGGTACCTGATCGCCAGCAAACCCAGCCTTGAGGATACCGGTGCCCTGAAAAAGATAATCAAAATAGATAGGATCAGAAAGAAGCTACAGCAAACAAGCAGGCCAAAAAGCCTCACTTCATGATTCCATAAATTATCCAGAAGCTCCTAGCATATTACGGAAGGCTATCATAGGAATTGAACTGATTGATAGGAATGCATACCGTCCGAGTATAAGGTAGTCCATAGAATGTCCAGAAATCAGTACCATGGTAACATGGAAACGCTTCGTAGGGGAGACCGCCGCTATATGAAATATGGCTCGAAGAAATACCGAAAAATAGAACATGCACCAAAGCTGGTGCATGTTTCACTTACTACCCTTGTGATAATGCTCTCATATCTTATAAAACTCATCTATTGATGAGAATAAAATTCATATTAAAAGACTTTTGACGCAGATGAGGCTGGCGAGAAACGTAAATCCGAGTCTTATGTAAGCGGAAAAGCCAATTAACTGTACAGTTATTTTACACTTGTTATGAATAATAAGCAATGTGCACTTCACGAATTTCAACGGAGGTCCGGACCATCACCCTGTCAAATGGGAGCTTCACCGTAAATACAACTACAAGTAGTCTATGAATAGTGGTTAACTTGCACTTGAACTTTAAAAAGTAATCGATTAGAGTCACGCGTAATCAACCTCAAAAGGTTGCTGCTTAAAAGGTTGGAACCAAAACGAATGTATAATGTGCGAACTGCATGGTTGAAGGGCTAGTTGCGCTATATCCTGTCCAAACGCAAGGATCAGTCATTTGTAACTAAATTGTTGTGAAACATACATGATGTTTCATTGTTCTCCCTGTGTCAGCTCAGTTTTCTAATAGCTACAAACTGTTAATGAGGCCATGGTGCATACAGCTGCATATTTACCCGATGAAATGTGAGATGCCATCTGATGTGTTGAAACTGGCAGCAGACGATGAACAGCCCTCATGTCCAACTAAAACCTTTGAGATTATCATCACCATCGTCACCGACACCACATCAGTATTCAACACTGATGCTCCGTTGTCGTCCTATATGATGGCTAATGGTTGGAGCGCGAATTTACTGACCGGAAGGTTCCCCAATCCAACCCGACCTCTGATTGTCGACTTCCCAGTCTAGGCTTGGACAACCTGGCAGTAACACAGCCTTCGTGTCTCCTTCTGGTAGTATGGCGGTTAGGCGTCGAAAGGGTGCTACAGCTGAACGATTTTTGTTGCAATCTATTCCGGCATCTGATCTCACCCATTCCCAAAATCTGCTTGCGGACCCTACAATGCGAAGCGTTGATGCCACAGATTGGATCCAGAACGGTTGCTGTCAGCCGAAACTTGGCTTTTCGTTTCTGAATTTATATTTTGGGCTTGATGGTGCTACGGAATTTTACAAAGAGACCGAAGAGATACAGCGCCTTTACCCAATAAACAACGCAAATTGAAAGGAACCAACAGGCTACGGAATTTCCGCCAAAACATCAGCACCGTGACTACTTTTACTGATTACTACAAATTATCCTTCAGAGATGGCAGACAGCATTCGCGATATTCTGAAGAAGTCTAAGATTTTCTGCCGGAAAATACATCACAGTTGTCATGGATCCCCAGGAAAGGCCTACGTTTGTATTCGCTGCCAAGTCAGCATTCCGCCTGAACCAGCTCAGGTGGTCTCTCTGGGCTACACCCCTAGGATAAGCCGATACAACACATTTAGGATCACCTAAATCAGTTGAACCAGAGTACTGTCGTACCCGAGCGACAGGTGGATGTCTATTAAGACGCACATCCCGAGAGAGCCATATCGGTGGTTACCCATGTAGTGGTGCGTGTGACATGCAGGCAAGTACATGTACACAGTCATCTATGGCTTTAATGGAAAAGCGCGCTGATTTATCATACTTTTGTAGTTGGGATGCAGCACCCTTTAGGGGCCTTGCTGTCATACCAGCGGAAGGAAGCATAAGGGCTGGGATACTGCCAGGTTGCCCAAGCCTAGACAGGAGCAGTCGACATGCTGAGGTTGGGTTCGAACTACGGACCGGAAAGTCCTTAAGTTGGAGCCCTAGCCAAAGAGGTAGCTAGAGTTCGGTGTGCTGAATGCTAGAATCTTATAAAGATAAACAAAGTGCGACGTTCGAGTTGAGGATTTTCGACAGTATGCGAAAAGATGTCAAGTACGCGGTATATGTGAACTTCTCGTGTTGTATGGGAGAATAGCTAGTTACCGAGAAAGTTTCAGCCGCCAAATCAGAATGGCCGCAGTTGGTACGCGTGCAGAACCTACAGATAAAGAATTGATATTGCTTCGGCTAGTGCAGTTTCTTGCAGAAGTTGACAACCAGACAGCACGAAGACGACCAATTACGGGATCCAATCAATCAAAGAAAAATCAACTCCGGAGGTAAGATCTACAACGTTCGCCTAACCCACTGCATCAGCCGCACGACCTGTTGGAGTTTATACGCGGTAATGCTCATTAAATGAAGTCATACTTATATTCCATTCGGGTTTTGAAAGCAAAGCAAACCGCTACCGGTGGTGTTGAGGTTGCTTAGGCAACTGGTCAGCCGACATTTTTAAGAATTCGGTCGTAAAAAACCACGGCACCCCTTAGTTTAAATCATAAATCGTTCAGCTGTAAAACCCTTTCGGTGCCTAACTACCATACCACCCGAAGGTTGCACGAGGGCTGGGATACTGCCAGGTTGCCCAAGCCTAGACAGGGGAAGTCGAGAGGAAAAGGTCGGGTTCGAACCACGGACCTTCTGGTCAGTAAATTCGCGCTCTAACCACTTGGGTCATCTCGCCCGCTTAGTTGGCAAGTTTCCATACAACCCGAGGGAAACACAAGGGATGAGATACTAACAAGTTATCGTAGCCTAGAGAGGGGCAGTCAAGGAGCCTGGGTTGAATTTGAATAAGGCCTTCTGGTCAGTGACTTTGTGCCTTGAAGTCTGAACTGTCCCGAACTTCCGGGGACAAAACCAATGGAAATTCTGAGAAGCGGACACAAAGCGGCCAACTTAAGCATTAGCATGGTGTTATTCACTTCCCAAGGTCCACGGCTGACATGCCCATCGATGGAACCCATTGGTCATCAGATGGTGGTCAGGAAATAATATTGACCAAAGACAGGCGTCAGTAACAACCTGTTTTTGCCTACGTGCCGTGCTGTATATAGCAATTAAAGCACCATCGACGACACGCGGACCGACATACCGTCGGGGTGCTCAAATCTAGTCAGGACAGTTAGGGCTCTCACCCAAAACCCTGACCAACGTGCAATAAATTGACTGTTAGCACAATACTACCATTTTTCGAGGAACAAGTAGCCACGCGTTGCAGTCCCCAGTCTGGATGGCCAGGTGACTGCTTCAGCTTAACTATTCACTAACCAACTTGCTGTGAGGAATTGTACCAGAACCACAAGGACAACCTCCGGTTCAGCTCAACGGGTCACGCAGACGCACAATCCGTAACACCACGGCAAGGTTAAGTTGCTTCAAGAAGAGATAAAAAATCGTTCAGACGTGGCACCCTTTCGGTGCCTAACTACCATGCCACCAGAAGGAAGCACGAGGGCTGGGATACTGCCAGGCTGCCCAAGCCTAGACAGGGGAAGTCGAGAGGTAGAGGTCACGTTCGAACCACGGATCTTCCGGTCAGTAAAATCGCGCTCTAACCACTTGGACCATCTCGACCCCTCAAGAAGAGATAACCTGTCAATTTCCAAACTGCTGAGGACAAACTTAAACAGGTCGGATAAATCCGATTCCGGGTACAAAACGTTGCCGTTACTATTCGATGGATGTTCGGCCTACCTTCGTCGCGGAACGAAGGTCCCTCTCTCCAAGCCCATCAACTTGAGAACTACGCATCATGCGATACTCCCAACCACTTCAACGTTGCAATGGTCCTGCAGGCTGGACTGCTGGAGATCAATTCCTGAAGGTTTAGCCATACCAGGAAGGCTAACGGAAAGTAACTAAACGAAGAACACCGGGTCCCCGTATTGCGATAGATCATTTTTCGCGGTGGTCTGGAGGTAAAGTCGTATTGTATTCTGTTGTAGGAGAGTCAGCAAAATGTTTTTCTTTGGAACTCTAATTACCGGCGCATCACTCTACACAGCCGAAAGACTCTTAAAACCAAAATCTGGTGTTACTCCAATTCCTGATTAGCCATACCAGGAAGGCTAACGGAAAGTAACTAAACGAAGAACACCGGGTCCCCGTATTGCGATAGATCATTTTTCGCGGTGGTCTGGAGGTAAAGTCGTATTGTATTCTGTTGTAGGAGAGTCAGCAAAATGTTTTTCTTTGGAACTCTAATTACCGGCGCATCACTCTACACAGCCGAAAGACTCTTAAAACCAAAATCTGGTGTTACTCAGAAGGTACCCGCTGCGCGAAGTCGCATTAGGAGTTAGACGGTTATGCTCTACTCCCTGCGCCTGTAGGACCAGGCCAGTCCCCTAAAACCAAGCTGGTCATCCTGTTGAGTCATTGACTCCAAGAAGAGTCCACCAAGAAAGTGCTAACAACCGCTACCTCTACCTCTTAGTTCAAAATTTTGAGTCACGAGCTAGAGGAAGGGCCTCAAAGCAGCACGCTATATTCTCCCGGTGCCTCGTGGGTCAGACTTCTGAGCCAAAGGTTCAAGATGCAGTACTTCAGCAAACCCCCTTCTTCGGCATGGACAATCGAGTATTATTCGCCCTTTTCATTCACCCACTCGTCCCCACGCCTCTACCACCCAAGTCCTCCGGATTCATTTATCTGTTAATAGCCTAAATACTTCTGATGCACAGTTCCGAACGCGCTTTTCAAACCCTAAAGTGTAAGGTGATACTGCGGCCAAACCTGATATTTGCATGTGAACTATGTGGTAAACAAGTTCGTCTATCCGGACAGTTGGTGAACTAGTTAAATACGGAATCATTTTCTGGAATGGGAAGGTCACGTCAGCGTTTGCCAACCTCCGACGTCCGTGGCACCAACGTAACACCAGCTTGAATGGTAAAAGTAGAATGTATAATGTCGCGGTCCGATCGGTCTCAATTTATGGATCAGAGACAGCCGCTGTGCGTGGAGGCATTCAAAGGCTGTGTTTGACAACTACTCCATTCCGTCTGGTAGTAAAATCAGATCAGTAACGCTGAGGTATAAAGTAGAATAATGTCGCGGTCCGATCGGTCTCAATTTATGGATCAGAGACAGCCGCTGTGCGTGGAGGCATTCAAAGGCTGTGTTTGACTGACACTCCATTCCGTCTGGTAGTAAAATCAGATCAGTAACGCTGAGGTATGCGAGATTGTTTTTGGGAAAGCACACACGCACACACACTCTCTCTTTCGATAAATCGACCACTAACGATTCACAGGTCATCCATCGCCCTTATTAGGTATCTTGAGTCCTGCTAAATGGAATGGACAGATAAATTTGTCGTTGGTGCACGCCTGCCTTACTCCCTTATTCTCCTTATACTCGGTAAAAAATCGTTCGGTTGTAGCAACCTTTCGGTGCCTAACTGCAAGTCTACCAGAAGTAAGAACAAGGGTTGGGATCCTGTCAGGTTGCCTAAGCCTAGACAGGGGAAGTATAAAGTCAGGGGTCGGGTTCCAACCGCGGACCTTGCGGTCAGTAAATTCGCGCTCTTACTGCTAAGCCACCCTCGGTGGACGAAATTGTAGCAGTTAAAACCACTGCAATTCGGTGCACGGGTTGTAAAGTAAAAGAACGAACTAATAAAAGGACCATGTGGCAGTTTTCCATCGAAACACATTTATGTTCCATCACTAATTTAATGTCCTGGGGGTTGGTGACCACCTTTCTAGTCGGATGGACTCCGGGTTCGCTTTCCTTACTGAATAGTCAAATAACCCAGGCATATCGCTGCCTTCGAAGTGAATGAAACCACGTCGTGCCGCATATTATATTGACCGTCTGCACCTGAAACTATGCAAACATAAACGGAAGCTCACCTTCGAGTGGCGACGACGTCTGGGCGACTTTCTTGACGATAATCTAAGATTGTTACTACTATATGTCTACATTGGGTTAAAACTCCCATATCGATATGAATTTGGCAGTGGATGGAGATTCCAAACCGGATGTTTTGGAAAACAAGACAAAACCAATGGGCAACATGGGTCCATCAGATCAGAGTTTGCTATAGCGAACTGCCTATAGTCAAGGGTTAAGTATGGTTAAATTTAACGTAATCGGATGCAGACAAATCCAACCTCAAGAGAATGCTGTCAATCGCTATAGCTACAGACAGACTGTACCAACGAGGAAGGGGGTCTCGGGGCGTATTTCCGATAGAATCAGAAGGCTGATTTACCAGAAGTGACCTAGGAGTACTTGAACTGAAGCGCTTATACCAAATTTACACTAGGCCTATTATACCCGCACTTCAGGCGAATGTTCACGAAAGGCTAGGACCGAGTTAAATCGATTCAACAAAAACGCACCGAAAATATCACAGGTCCCTGCTCCAACATCACGCTTTTAGGTATGCGCATTACGCAACACTGGCACACACGGGGTGCAACTAACGTCCGTATAGCAAACAAAGCAACGAACGAGGAAAACTATGGTCGCCCTACAAGAGGTTGTGTACAGACAACAGGGCGTACGTTCGATCATGTCATAAAATCACCAGAGAACAGCTAGAGATCTTTCGGACAACATCTGTCCTGACAACCCACAGTCAACTATAATTTCAGCCCGGGAATCATGACCACGGAGTCACCAGTCTCATTTAAGTTTATACACTGAAGCTCCTATAGGGGATAACGTGCACGCATTAAACGCTGGTTTTTGGAACAACTGGCCTTCGAGGGTCTTACCGTATCAATAACTACGGGCTGGTTGGCGATAACGTCGTAAGAATCCATCGTCATCTTGAAGATCACCGAAATCAGCAGCGGACCAAACTGAAATCCCGCGAGTGATTGGGTGAAAAATTATCACGTGACAATCACGAGTTTCATGCTGTAGGCCAAAGGTTTCCTGGCGGTCCAAGTGAAAAAGACTCTGATAGGGTATAGCCAGCCGACAGCTCCGGCATTATGATCCCCGGAACTCAGGAGTTTGGTGGGATGTTTGACGAACTTCCTTGTGGAAAGTCAGGTAACAGTGATCAGGAAAACCCCAACTAACGATGTCACCCCACACAGTAGTGAGACGCTTGCATTCAACCGCCAAGTTCGGCGAAAAGATTAACAACCAAATGGTGTTTATTGTTTACTGTTTACATGAGATTTTTATTTCCAGTTTTTCTTCTCATTACGGTTTTCGCGCTTTTTTCCTCTACGGATTCACGGATTCACGGATTGATGCCGTGAATCCGTGAATCCGTTCTACCCAGTTTTACCATTGGTTTTATTTTTGTTTCTTTCAGAAGTAACGGAGTGGTTTACTGCGTCTTCGTTGTGTAAACGAAGACACATTACGCCGTAACACGTGCTAACCGGAGTGACAACTTGTCAAATAGAAGTGAGCACATGCTGTATATCCCGTGATCAAGGATTGGTGGCCTTATGTCATGTCCGACCACGAGTTAATCACGTCGCTAAGCGTCCGTTCGTGGCCAGAAAGTAGTGTGGCACTTTGTATACTCCTTTTGTTTTAATTATAACATTACGTATCTTGTCAATTGCGTAATCGTATTTTCGTTTGAATGCGAAAATCTATGAAAACGCGTCGTTATGCAATCACACGTAATCCAAACCCGGCCACGAGCTTGGGATTCCTCTTCCATTTTCACTTGCGCTTACAGCAGTTGTTCATGAGTTTCATGTGCTAACTCTGGTATCGAAACATTTTAGACGACTATGTGCGACAATTTTTCAGAAGACCCCTGGAAACCATGATTGCATTTTTATTTATTCGTTGAACTTGACCCGAGAAACTTGAGCGAAGGCCTCGATCCTGTGCATCAAACCGTGAATCCGTGATGCCAGCACTTTTCAAATAGATATCAACGCCGCAATGGAGGGGTTGCTGGAATTGCACTCCCCTCTCATTGTTGGTCGACGAACCCATAGTTCGTTTTTATGGAGCTCAGCAACGCATTTTTCGAGTGCTATGGTAATAATAATGATATCGGGAAGCTGGGTAAGATAACAAACTTGAGTATGTGGTTCACTTCAAGCATTTCCTTTGCAGTCCACCACGAAAAATCAGTATTCGTCGTCGTTTCTAAAAATCTGCCCACTTGTCCGCTTATTGCTCGCAACGATTTTCAGGTGTCCGCCTACTCACAATACAAGAAGAAAGTGCTCCACATTCGGCGTGTCCATCGAGCCGGCACTAAGTTTGCTGCCTCCCTGAAAGACGCTGATGCTGTGACGGTTCCCAAATTGCTTGAACATTTTCCTCCGGGGCCATCTTCACCTCTGAGAACAGTTGTGATTTTGTGAATAAGTTTTGGCCGATGGGGTTTTTCTTCGTCGATCCGAATAATACATGGGACCTATTGTATAGCTTTTGAAGCTCAGGGCATGAACTTCTATCAGACAACAATATTTCTCATTTCGGGGGGCACCTGGAATAGCCGTTCTACGATGAATGCCCACGCTTCATCGCTTGGATGTGAGACATCAAGCTGGCAAGCCTGCTGCCCAGTAATAAAGTCTCGCGCAAATTTTTTTCTCTTGCGCCTGTTTAGCGGGTGTAATCCGATGGACGACAAGGAACAAAACGACTCATACTCTGGTCGCATTGAGAGTGACCCTGTCCGTGAGCCTTTCAGTTGCAGTTGATGAATTCACACCAAAAACTTTCCCGTTTCTCGGTTCATTCATCCTATATTTGTCAAATTTTGAATGTTTCGGTAGATATATCGGTCCTCCGCACGCAGCGGTGCATAAATTTGATCCAGTTCGTTGTTGGTCGGATCATTTGTGGAGTGCCATGCATCTAGCAATTTCCTCGTGCCTCCGCATGCCGTTTTTTGGGTTGAACTTGAGGATATTTGAGGCATCGTACATCCTGACGATCGCGTTGTGCTCCCTCGTTCTTGCGCATAAAATATCTTTCCGATTCGCTTCAACTTAGGTTATGTTGCAGTGGATTTGGTTCCAAAAATAGTTTTGTTGATTGTTTCTTGGTTGTACCTTGGTTTTGAGCTCAGATTTTGTAAAGCGGCATCTGATCCGTGGGCTACGAAGAGTCCCGTTGAGCTTATAAGCTAGCCGCCATTTTCGATATATATTTTTGGTTGAACTACCTAGCTGGTTGCTTGCTGCCGCTGTTGCTCTCGTTGAGATGCCTTCTTTCTCATGCTTTTTTGAACACTAAATGGGTGGTTTCCTTCTTCCTCAGCTCTGTGGTATTGCAATAGGTGTAACTGACCCTTAGACGCACACCCTAAATTTTTCTCAAACCTTGGTTTGTAGGAAGGAATTTTTTAACATAAAGTTTTAGTAGTTGATGGTATTTATAAGAACTCTTAATATCTCCGCGATTTGGCTGGAAGTTATTTAGACCTACTCGAGATCCACTACGCGAGATCAAAGTGAGACAGCCACTTGTGACTTGTACAAGACAAAGTCTTCTATCGTCGTGGCAGTCTTCCCGTCAAAGAAGATTAAGGAGTTTGTCATACTTTTTAAGCTATTTTGTTTTTATTGTGGCCAGTACACTCCACATGGGGCACCCGGCAAGGTTTAATTTCACCAGCATGCCAAAACCTTGATAGTGCTGTTGGATGAACTACTGTGTATATGGGTAGAATGAGCGGACAGCACAATGGGGTAGCCAGCGCTTACAAGTCCTGACACAAATTAAACAAATTAAAACGGTGCTTTACACGCTCAGCGGAAAATTATTAGGGGCAGGGCAAGCCACGTGCAAGCCATCAGACTGGGTATGGCAGGCACGTTACCATCACTGCGACGTCGTACACGAGTCCGTGGGCAGCACCGTGTGCGAACATTTGGGACCAGTCAGTTGGGTTTTCCAGGCGGCCAAAAATGGTCACAATGTCTAACTTCAGTGGGGCTTCGCTGCCCGATTTAAAAAACGTAACTGATATTCAGGTGCAGAAAATAAGCATGCAGTCGATGCAAAAGAGTGTGTGCATGTGAGTATGATANCCAGTCAGTTGGATTTTCCAGGCGGCCAAAAATGGTCACAATGTCTAACTTCAGTGGGGCTTCGCTGCCCGATTTAAAAAACGTAACTGATATTCAGGTGCAGAAAATAAGCATGCAGTCGATGCAAAAGAGTGTGTGCATGTGAGTATGATAGACGTGCACCGGCTGCGTCCTGCGTAACTAGGGTAGCTCCGAGCTCTCGGGACATGAGATTAAAAAAATTCAAGAAGTGTCTGGTGGTCTTTCGGGTTTATACGATGAGGTACCCTCAGAATGCTGCTTTACAGCCTAAAGAAAAACTTTGAGGCGTCATACCACTTGCGTTCAGTGAGAACCTGTAAGCAGTTTCCGCACTGCTGTCATTGGATTTTTTATTCTTGGGAGAGTCGCCTAGGATATACGCCACAACAAGAGTAGGCTCAGGTCGGGCGCCATAGGCGTCCGACAAAAGTTGCTTATATTCCGGTTTCCCTTTTATCCTTTGGAAAAATGGACTATAGGGCTCAGCTTACTGTGGGAATACCTTCGGGGAGGGCTTGCGTTGAAGTAGGACTTGTCAGCCGAGTAGTATTTCTCATGGTCACAGACAGGTGAAGAATGAGCGGACATGGTACGGAAATATATGGAGAGCTCTCCTAAAACTTTCGCCCACAAAGCGGTGTCCGTCAGGGGTGCTCCCCTCTTCATTTCTACTTAAGTTCGTGATCTATGAGATAATGAAATAAACGCTAATATGCCCTTCGAACTTCAGATTTCAAATGCTTTCTGACAAAACCTTGTTGACCCGGCGTACGCAGACGAGATCGTTTTCTTATTCGAAGAGGGGGAGAGTGTTGCCTGTTCACATATAACTAGATGCTGAAAAACACAAAAGCAAAGCCGTCGATTCTATTAGGCTATATTGTATCGCCATAGGAGGCAGAATCGAATTGGGGTTAAGATTTAGTGGTCTAAAAGAGCAAATTTGACAGCGGAGACCCACATTCTTCCAACATCTTTGCTGCGGTTGCATCTATGGGCGCACGCCTTAGGCCACACGCAGTCATTAGATTCCATGCCTCAATTCTATGCTACTTAATCCTACGACTGACAAGTACACACCATGATTTAATAATATTGTTTATTCCCAACTAGTGCGTGGCATATACTTAGGCATGATTGTAATGTTACAGTCAGAATAAGTGCATGACTGGTGGGGTTTGTGTTTACTGGGAATTTCATGGAAAAGGGATAGTGAGATAAAGATTGGTCATATTCCGAAGTGGACTTGATCACGCCTGAGACTACATGGGAAAGAACTGAAATCACAAGGACTCTTCCTTTCTTATGGGGAAATATCAAATGAGACAAGATATGATCGTTAAGATTTGAAAGTGGCGGTCAAAATCAATACGATGGGGCGTAGCAAGAGGCTTTCTTCATGGCACATGATAAAAAAACTTTAAACTGCAGAAAATTGGGAACCAGAATTACGGATCTGTGGAGGCAGCAGAACTCTCACTATCTAGCCGGCCTGTTTGAATCAAAGCCTGAAACTATCACTAAGACTTCATTGCCTTAGGCTCTTGTGCATATGGCCAGGGTCACAAAAAAGCGTAACTGGGGATGGTGAATTGGGAGATATGCAGTACGGATAAATGTGAGTAGGAAACTCAAAGTCACAGTGTGAGGTGAAGCTGGAGGGATTCACTAGTGTTGCTGCTGGAGCGAAGGTAGGTGCAAAAGTTCCTTGGGAGAAGGAGTCTACGCCACGCAAAAGAAAGAAGGCGAACTGCACGGAAAATAACTGACTTGGTAGGATGTACGAAGTAAAAGACATCGTGATGTTTAGATCCA